TTTTTTATTTACGGTCTTTTCTTAATTTGATGTTTTGAGCTCTTTTGTGTTTAGAACAATATATACTAATTTTTAAAGTATCAAATTGAATTTTTGGTTCAATAAAAATCTTTCAAATGCAACTGTAGCTTTTTTCCCCAAAACTTTGTCTTCAAAATAAGGGTGCGTCTTATATTCCGAAAAATACGGTAACTTGGATGCATTGAACGTTTAGCTGAATTTGATCCATTTCTCGCAGAGCACATTCAAAGACATGGAAATCCAGAAAGAGGGATCTTTCTTCAACTATATGCGATGAATTTATTGACATGTTGGGATCCAACGTTATGGCTCAAATAATATCTGAAATATCAAGAATGCAAATTATTATGGAATCAGTATCGATTCAGCTTCTTATATTAGTCACACTGATCAGTGTACAGTGGTGATTGTTATGTACTCAGTGATGGAAATGTGGTCGAGCGATTTCTTCAGTTCATTCCCATTGAACATCATAATGGAAAATAGTTATTCGATATTTTGCAGGGTACTCTAAAACTTCATGGCATTGATATTTCAAGCTGCAGTTCACAATAATATGATAACACCAGTAATATGAGTGGCATTCATTCAGGGGTGCAGGATACATTTCGAGAAGTTAACAGATTGGCTGAATGGATTCCATGAGCTTTCTATAATCTGAATCTGGTTGGATCAGCTGCTGTGGAATGTTGACCTGCAGCAGTAATCTTTTTTAGAATTTTGTATTCACTCTATACGTTCTTTTCACCTTCTCCCCAGAGATGGTCTAACTAGGTAGAAAACATGAATAAAAATACCTACGTTGTACAAAGTGTATCAGAAATAAGATGGTTAGCACTGAACGATGCCACCAGACCCCTTTATATGAGCTATTCTGAAATTCTTCAAACTTTGGTTGACATAGCTGAAAGTGATCGAAAACCACCAGCAGCTGTCCATGAGGCAAAGTCATTGACTAAGAAGATTGATTTGTTCAAGACAGCGTTGGTATGTATCTTTTGGAATGACGTACTTCAAAAGACTAGTCTTGTGAATAAAGCTCTACAGGAAGCTAGCATTGAGTTGTACACTGTCATGAGCTTGTATGATGATCTGTTAGCACACTTTTGTGGTACCCGCCATAAATTTAATGTGTTTGAGGCCATGGAAAAAGAACTCACACCATCCTACTACAAGGAGACTACACACAACGCAAACGACTGAGAAACCGTTGTTGTTGTTTTTTGATGAAGTTGGTATGAATAATACGTCTCTGATTTGAGTGCCAGTGACAAAGTCTACACAAAGTCCTTTTATCCTATCATGGATAAACTTATTGTTGAGATGGGCAGACGATGAGCACACTGAATGAAAGGTTTTCTTTTGGATAGATCCATGTCCAGTGATGAAGTGGCCTGTAGAGTAAGGATATTGATATACACTTATCCATCAGGTCTCGAAACTGCATTCATAGATGAATTTGTATTGCAGACAAGAAATATATGGTGGAATGATCAGTGTACAATTAGCGGATAAGTTGATGACACGTTTTCCAAATGTCAACATTGCTTTTAGAATGTATCTTGCCATCTTCTGAACAGGATGTGGAGGGGAGCGCACTTTTTCAATGTTGAAACGTATAAAGAACTGTCTTCGGTTGATCCATGGGACAAAAACGACAATCTTCACTTGCACTACACTCAGTTGAGAATGTGGTTTTGATAACAAAAAGAGCCACAAAGTTAATGTTTAATTTACATCTACTTAAGACATATTATACCTGTATGCTGTTTGTTGACTAAAGATTTGATCAAAGAAACATGCATCTATACATCTACTTCATCGTTTTTACACGTACTCTAATAAAAAATGCAGTTTTAAAAGTAATTCAATCAAAACAAATTATTTTTTTGATTTAGTAGTTTCCTTCTCTTATTTTTGAGTCAACTAAGAATTCTTTGTAGCCCCCAAACTTTTTTGTAGGCCTTTGGTAGTTTGATAGGCCCTAGGCTATTGAATAATCCAGCACTGGGGGTGGGGCAGAAATAAGGTAAATATGCTAATGGTTCTTGTACAATCACAAGGGATAATGAAATAAGTTCGAGCAGAACACAGATATCCAGATAATCAATAATGTCAGCTTAAAACTAAACGCCTCCGGAAAAAATTAAAAATTAAATGCAAAATCGTGATATTTACTTCTTCAATAACTCAAGAAGAAGAAAAAAAAGTTATTTTTGTAGAAGAAAAACAGGAGGAAATGAGACGACTAAAAAAGGTATTCAGCAAATAACATCAGGGAGCAAATGCAGTAGCACAGCGTATGTCTGCGGACTTACAACGCTAGAAACCGGGTTTCGATACCCGTGGTGGGCAGAGCAAAGATACCCCATTGTGTTATTATTATTATTCCTGTAAACTCTCAATGGAGCATAGGGCCGCAACAACACCTCGCCAAACGGAAGGTACGTTG